ATACATAGCTAGGAGTTCCCTACCGAATGTGCTGTACCTCGATTCGGTGTCTAGCAACCTTCTAGAGAAAAATGCCAAGGGTTGCCAGGAGTTGTTAACCCATTGTTGTAAGACTCCTCCGACTGCTGAGTCGGATGTGTCTACTGCGATGCTAATGGGTGCTTGAGTGTCCTGATGTGCAAGCATTGTCGCTTTTGCGATAAGTTCCTTAATTGTGGAGAATGCTTTTCGTGCGGTGTCGTCCAAATTAATGGATTTCGCACTTCCACGAAGTTGGTCGGCAAGAGGTTTCATGAGCAATGCGAATTTCGGTATGAATCGTCTATGGAAACTTACAAGGCCGTTAAACGTTCGTAATTGCTTGATCGTGGTCGGTTCTGGGTAATTCAGAATGGCCGCCATTTTGTTTCGAAGGGGTCGGATTCCTTGAGCATCTATAGTGTGTCCTAGGAAGTCTAATGAGTCAGCTCCGATTTGGCATTTATGAATGTTTACAGTAATGCCGTGGTTTTGTGGTCGTTCGAAAACAAGATCCAGATGCTTGAGATGTGATTCTCTGTCCGGACATGCGATTAGGCAGTCGTCAACATACGCATGTACGAAGTTGAGACCTCGAAAAACGTCGTCTATGAACCTTTGTAATATTTGGGCAGCATTTCTTAGACCGAAAGGCGTTCGCAAAAATTCCTAGAGTCCAAAGGGAGTAGTGATGGCGGCTTTCGGTATGTCGTCCGTGGCCATGGGAATTCGGTTATACGCTTTAACCAAGTCGATTTTCGAAAAGAGAGTTGTACCTTTCAAGGTAGCTGTCAAATCGTGAATGTGAGGCAACGGGTAACGACTGGGAACGGTTTTCGCATTCAATCGCCGATAGTCAACAGTTGGACGCCAATCGTTGCTGTCGTTTTTAGGGAACACGTGCAACGGAGATGCGTATGGGCTATTTGACGGTCGTATGATTCCTCAGTCTATCATGTGATCGAACAGGTGGTCCTGTAGTCGTGATGTGATGTGTAACGTTGCTGGTTACACACGGTAGTTTCGGTTGCGTTTGGTGAACCCCCGGGATACTTATCGAGTAGTGGTTGATAAAGTGGGTCTATCGTATGCTTAATTGTGACTGGAGATAATCTGCAACCAGAAAAAGAAGTTACGCAAACGGATAAATTAGTGTTTCCGTCTACTGGCCTCCGTTTGCGCGTATCGATGATTAGATTATGGTGTTGTAGAAGGTCCATACCAATGATTGGCATAGAAACATCTGCGACAACGAAGATCCAGTGAAAGGGTTTGCGTAAACCCACGTTAAGGTAAACGTACATTTTGCCATACGTAGCGATAGGTTTTCCGTTTGCCGCCTGTCAATTTAAAGCCGATTCGTGAAGCCGGGCGTTGTGATTCGCTGGGAGAACTCTAACTTCTGCGTCAGTGTCGACGAGGTAGCGAACTCTCGTGACGTATAACAAACGACTATGTTCGCCGGCTACGGTTGCCGTTAACGCGTGCCGGCTTGGAAGTTTCCCGAGTTGTTTCTCGAGTCAGTCGGTTTTCATTTGGGAAAATTGCAGGGTTTTCTGCAATTTCTGGAAGACTTTCCATACTGGTTGTGATACTAGCACCAGCCGGGATTATCCGTCTCTCGTGGTCTAGAGAAAGATCGCTTACGTGAAGTGTCTCTACGTGGGGTGTGTGATTGCTTACGGCCGTTACGAAAATTAAGATAACGCGTAAGTGTATGACATAGCTCTGTTATGTCATTCTGAGTCGTTTGAGGCTTTTCTTTGACTGAAAAAACCTCGGTATTAGAAGATTTTGTTATTTCTAAAATAAGATCGGCAGATGCAGCCAGTTCGTCTAAGGCGTTGTTCTGAAACGAGACCAGAACTGCTTGCACCTGTTGGGGAAGTTTGGACAAGAAAAGTTGTTTGAATAGGCCTTCGTCGAAAGTTCTTAGGTCTATCACCTCTCTCATCCTATGCAACATGTCCGTCGCAGAACCGTGTTGCAGGTCTATGTTATTGAAGAGTTGGTCTAACCTTTATCGATCGGTTAGGTCTACTCGTTTAAGGATAGAACGCTTTAAGGTTTTGTACGTTTCAGAAACATCACTAGTAAACATACCAGGTGTTACGTATCTGTTGAATTCCTGCGGTAGTGTCTTGACTAAAGCGAGAAATTGTGTACGTGTGTCGTTCACGCCGTGCTCGTGGAAGTCGTCTTCTGAGTTGCGGAACCAGGCTTCGATATTGTCGGGCCAGAAGGGCATGAGTTGGAATGAGGGTGGGGGCATGGTCTTAATCTTAAAATCCTTAGGAGTCTGTTCGGTCATAGTGGAATATCAAGTACGAGAATACACAAGGGAAAAATATATAGATATCCAAAAACGCGGGGAAAAATATCACAATGTATGAAAAATTAAAATAAAGCAATGATATATAGAATTCCCAAAATGGAACAGACTCATAGTTTATGATTTGGTGTACCAGATCACGTCGGTCTCACCAATGAAGATGGCACAGGTATTCAGTGTTTGACAACGCTTTTACCAGCAACACCTTCTAATATAATTCGTACCCACCAAGAGAAATTAAGGGACGGAGTCGAGGTGATCGGATGAGTGTATTTCGCGATTACCAATATATCGGAATCATCTGATCTAATCTGGCTAGCGATTGCGGTAGATGTTGAACACAGCGTTACCATACGTGATCTGGTGCGGATGCCTGATCGAGCGTCTTCAGCTAGGTGAGTTCACTAGAACTAATCTGGTCAACATCCAATGTCGAAAACTTACAGAGCTATTGTTTTTGTGAGTTATTTGAGGCTACAGTCTGAATAACACCTTTACTACTCGACTGAAAGAATCTAGAATTTCAGTGGTATATACTTCACATTGCTTTCACGGCATTCTAGTACATCAAATTTTTTTAGAGGGTTTGTTGGCGACATTGATATGTGAACAAAAAGACGTCCTAGTATGCAGCGGCTCAGTTTAGTGCTCGAAATGGCAACGATTACAACACTAACGTGAAATTAATAAAATCAACTTTCGAGACAATGGATTTACTATTTGGCATTCGTAACATGAAAACATACAATATTATTGTAGCGTGACGTCGAGTCCCAATTGACTATGAACACCGCTACCAAGGAACCCGTGCCGGGACATACATAATATCCCACGGAAGCCAAATATCAGAAGGCAGTTAATGGACCAAGTCGAGATATATTTGCTGGCGATCTCGTGGTATCGAAAGGATTCCGAGATCGTGCCAGGATACAAGCTTGGTTATAGAACGTAATCGGATTCGCGCGAAGTCACAGAGTGTAGGAATAATGGATGTTTTTAGCACAGTTAAGCAAAAGGACATTAAAACAAGCATTGGTACAGTTGGTTATAATAATGATTGTTTTCATTAAACCAGTCGTGTTCTCGTGATAAAAGTGAGTCACTACACTATCAACTTATCACATTCCTCCACGGTGGTAAACCATGAAGAATTTAATCCCGTTCACTGAACTAATGTAAACAATACAAATGTAAAAACGGAATACCTAGTCTGTTTAAGCACTAGAAACTCTGAAAAATTGTAAACTAACAAAACGCGGTATTCATACTAGGTTATAGTTGTGCTAGAAATATGCACATCACACCATAAATGCCCAGGCCTGATTGGTTGCCAATGTGAATGGCGGGATTGTGACGTATCCTCACCCGCTAGTTTTGATTGTGGTATGGCTCCAGTAACCAGTGGTGCAAGCTTCTGAAGGCTAATTTTAGTCTCTCAAAGTCACTGGCGAGGTATAGTCTTGGTGTCATTCTTCTGATACTCAATTTTAATATTTGTCTATTGCATGTTCGTTTGCCAAGTAATTAAAGATAACTTAACAAAGTTAAAGAGGCGAAAGATTTGTCCACCAATGAGGAGACACTAGAGTTATGGTTTCTCCTCCTGCTTCGGTTTGGGCACCCGGGCAGTATAACAGCCCTCACACATATCAAATGAGATTTGTATGGCGCATATGTTTTTGGTACCTCCGTGTACCAAAATCTATGTGTTAAAATAAATAACAAAGTTAAGACTTCATTGAGTCTTATTTAATACTCATATAAAAATTAAATTAGATACATAGATATCTGTGGATCATTATATAAATATTTTTTCACGAAGTATGTTTGTGTGTAAACCACAGCTAACTGAAAAGCAACAGATACCGAGAGCTTCCGTGTCTTATAAAACCTGCTCATATATGAGCGTTTTGTAAGACCTGGAACTCAAATGAGGATATATTTAGGATATTTTACCCTTAATACATCAGATAACACTTTATACGAAATTTATGTAGGCATTCTTTGTTTCAAACAGGAAAATATGCTAGGACGGGTTCTAAAGTTAATTACCAGAATTATGAAGGATATAGCTAATCAGTATAGCCGTGGCTATACCCAAATTACATGCATGTACTTTGGGTTGTTCTGTTCAGTTGTCTCTACATACTATTACGTCAGCCTCATCCTACAAATCACGTTTTTTCTTATGCACTTAATAATTTAATCTTTTTTTGGTCCTGGTAAGTTCAGCAACTTGAAGTGCAGTATTATTCTGTGGCTCTCTACCTTTATAATATACGTTTGTCACGTTGCTTGTTTCTTGAAGCTCTATGCTTTTTGACAAATTTATAACCAACTAAAGCTCACTAAAAATGCTTGTGTAACCTGTCATTAATATAAGAATTCATTTCCAACTCTTCCTTCAGTTACTGTTATTAATGATGAACAACGGTTTGTTCTTTGAGATTTTTGAAGGATCAATACAAGAACTGCACCTTTTCACATATAAAAACAGTCTACTTTAGTTGAGACCCAGATCCAAAGAGAAAATCAGTTCACCATTTCTGTTCAATAAGATTTGTAGTACTATATTCATTCTGTCTATTCATTTCATTTTAGAATCACTGCATGAACTGAACAATTTTTAGCAATAATAAAGAATAACTGTATGGTGAAGTCAAGTGTAGCATTATTGTGCAAAAGTACTTCAGCGTTGAAGAGACGTAAAATCTATGAGACATCTGAAAAGTGCTTAAAACAAATTACACACTTATACCTAAATGGTAAAAATCTAGATGAACTGGTAAGATTCTTTAAAATATTATCATAATACTTTATGTGTACTATATTGGCTTTGGTTTCTACTCCTAGTTATTTTCATCATTTCGCGCTTTCTCGCTTTCTTTCACATCCAGGGTCATGAAATCGCTCTCTGTCAGTGCCTAACTGTTCTCTACCTATATGACAATAAGTTGAATTCTATACCAGAATACTTAAACTTAACCCAGTTGACACATTTATATCTTCAAAATAATCGCATCAGTCGTATGGAAAACTTGAACTCATTAGAGAAGTTAGAAAAGCTGTAAGTTGAAAAATATTTTCATCCTTCTCCTTTCATAAAGTTTCCTCAGCCGAAATTGTATCAGTATAATTGAAGGCTTGGAAGGATTAATCAGACTGCAAGAATTACGCATTGACAACCAAAATTTGAATCCAGGCGAAAGTCTAGTCTTTGATGATCGTAGTCTGAATTCTGTAGCAGTAATGGTCTTGTTATTATTACTTTGTTATAACCATTCAAAAATTGCTTTAGATATAATGTAATGTCTGTTTGTTAATCTGACGAGCTAATTGTCTGACTGATAATCCCAACAGAAGCATTTAAGATTAACAGCAATAAGAAAAAATATGATCTATTTTGTCAGGGAGATTCATTTAAACCTGTTTTTAAGATTTTTCAACCCCCTTTATGTAATACCTTAACCCTCAAAAAATATTTTTAATTTTAAAGGTTGTTATTAGACCTCATAGGTTTAGTTTACTTTAACTTCCTCTCCAAACAATGGGATGCAAACGAGTACTACAGCTGACTAGCCTCTGTTGTTTCAAGTTTATTGGTAAAATCCGGTTTTTAAGAGGACCATGAAATTATTGGAAGTCATAGACAGCAATTAACTTATTTGATTTTCCAGATTCCTGAACACTACAGAAGACCACATCCACTAAAGATATCAGAGTGAATAAGAAAGATAAATGAAGATATTAGGAATATGGTTGTAGATAATTTGCTCACAGTTCTCAAGCTTGTAAAGTATAAGTGTATCTGGATTGTTGTGATTCATTCTTGCTATAGATTTCGAAGAAAAGACAAAACATCTGTTTCACTTTTTATCAAGTTCCTTAGTAAGGTTTGTTTGTTAAGCGGTTAAAATTCCTTGGTTAGATAACTGTTGTTTAATTTTGAGACGATCCCAGCTGAATAATCTGTTTCTAATTTTGACTTTCTACTTTCCCCCTAATCTCTTATCGTGTAACCACTTCCGTGTAAAAAATATCCCAACTTAATAGAATAGTCTTATATGCTTGGATGTGTCAGGTAACAAACTGGACACTCTACAAGATTTAAGTAACCTTCATGCCTTAATCTCTTTGAATGTATCGAATAATTCCATACGATCTATCCATGATCTATCTACATCACTGAATAAATGGTCAAACCTTAAAGAGTTCCATATAAAAGGCAATCCTGTCATGAAAACAACTCGAGCAAGAGATATCATCATTGTAACTGCAAAACGTCTAGGTAAGTTGTTTTCAATGGATACTACTTTCAATCACATTAACGCGTTTAGTTTGATATTTGTGCTATGTGAATTTCATCTGAATTTAAAAATGGTTTTTGTGAAATAGCAGTATCATTCAATCGCTTACTTAATTACTTAATCTTGCTACCCATCCTCAGGTATAGCCTACTGGGTAGTGATCACCAACTCTATCATGGACTCTCCCTTCCAGTTGTTGCTAAGTGGCATCGATAGTCTTGTTGTATGCGTCAAAGTTCTGGTGCCATGTGTTCTTTAGTCTGCCTCTTCCTTTAGGCTTGGGGATGCTTATTCAAGACTCGTCTTGTGATGTTGAGTGGTTTCCGTGAAATGTGTTCTACCCAACTCCAGCGTCTTTTCTTAAATCCTCCTTATCTGGCAGCTGGTTGGGTTTCTATCACAGTCGGTTACTTCTGATGGTTGCCGGCCAATCGACTTGGAGTATCTTGTTTGGACAGTTGTTAATAAATGCTTATACCTTTGTGATAATGATGGTGGTAGTTTTTTAAGTTTCAGCTCCGTACAGTTGAACTATTTTAACTTTAGTGTTGAAAATTCTGCATTTGGACGTGGACCACAGTCTTGAGTTTCAAATATTCTTCGACTTCATGAATGCTGCACTCGCTTTAGCAATTCGTGATTTAACATCCTTATCAGGTCCTTCTTGTTTACTACTGATGCTACCAAAGTGCATAAAATCTTCCACTTCTTTCAGAGCGTCACTATCAAGTGACGTAGTGCTTGCTGTATACATACTTTAGGGTTTCCCTTTTTCTCGTGAATGTCCAGACCTATTTATAATGAAGCCACTGCTAAAGTAGCTGTCTTTGCCTGTTTGCTGCATAAGTGTTAAGTCATCTTCAAAGTCTGTTATCCAGCTGTGTCCAAGGTGTCCACTGGTTCTGTGCTTTTCCCGAGCTGCAAAGGTATCCACAATCCAGTCAATAGCTAGCAAAAGGGAAAAAATTGGAGTGGGTACCATCATTTCACTCCAGTTCTCATTTGGAAAGTTTGTGAGCTGTTCTACATGGGGAAATCTTGTGATTGAACCTCTTGTAGGAGTTGCGTCTGATGCTACAAATCTTTTCAGGTACTCTATAGTATCGAATATTTCATAGGGTGCTTCTATTCAAGCTGTTGAATAATTTCTCATAATCAAGGAAGGTAATGTATAGTGATGAGTTATATTCAGTTGATTGTTCTCAGTTTAATTGGGACATGACCAATCCTTATGAAAGCGTGTTTGTTGATCTCGATATTGGACATCCACTGAATTCTCCATTCAGTTCAGTAACGATAAAAACTGTACTGATATTAGTATGGTGTTTCTGTAGTTGACACACTCACTAAGATCTTTCTTCGATATCTCACTAATGTATTCCTGTTTGTTGGTACTTGTTCTTCCTCCCAAATAGTTATGAAGTGAACATGGAATGTCTTTAAAGTTGTCTCTATATCCTACTTCATTGTTTTAGATGATATGCTGCTTAGTCCACCTGCTTTTTCACTCCTGATTTGCCGAAAGGCCTTGATAATTCCTCGGATGTCCAATGGTTTTAGCTCCCGTGGTGTGTTGAAGAGCTGTCTATCCACCTGTTCAGACACTCTTTAACCTCAGTGATTGGTTTCCCGTCTTTACCATAATTCGCTGCTACTTTATTGACTATCATTTAGTTCTTGCATATTTCCTTCTCTTGCAGATTGTCTTGCTGTAGTTGCCAGGTTTTCCACATATTTCTGCTTGTCAGCACTAATCCTCTTCAGTTGTTTGTGTACTTCTGTAGGTTACGCCTGTGTCCTGGCTGTCTGCTCTTTTGTCTCTGTATATTCGGCTGTGCCCAGAGTTTCATTCTCTGTACTATTGCTTCTTATGGCCCAGGACCTCATAACATGTTAAAGTTATCGCTTCTCTAATCCTTTTCAGTTACTCCCCGTATGTTTCCTCTTCCTCCGGTAGATATAATAATACTTAGGACTTGTCGGTGACAGTTACCTTGAATCAGCTGAGCTTGTTGGCATCCGAAAAGAAGGGTATATTAAAATTCTGTAATGCTTCTTCTACTGTCGAATGTTTTATAGCTTGGACACCACCAGGTGGTCAGGTTTTGGGTTATCTAAGGCAACATTAGTTCCCTTCTTTTGGCTGAAACACATGTTCCTTTAGGTCCTACCATGCCAGGCACATTGGTTGGGGAACGGTTAGACTAAGAGGCAAATTTGTACTGTCGGCTGTAAATGAGTGTGACGACAGTAAGATGTTTCTCTTGGAAAACCTCTATCTGCAGCGACGTTACCTTCTTACAACAGAAGGAATAGGGTCGAAAATGTCGGTCTTGAAAATTTCGCACCTCATCTTAACCCACGAATTTCCGTCTCTGAGGTTAAGGCCTTTTAAAGTGCTGAGCTAACCAAACGAAAGTTTTCCAAAAAGACTGTGTGGCCGGCCTCAAGCATTTCCCCCTTGGACTGTGCAATCACGCTTCCAAGTCACTAAGACTACCACTGATCCGGGCTCCTTTTCAGGTCCCTCTACGGCGTAGAGAGCCGGAAAGTGACAACCGCCTTCATGCCTCCAATGGCACCCGAGGTCATCTTGTTGACGATCGAATCCCTCTCCTACCTCTTAAGAGTTCCTCCACCCCATGAACAACTCTTTCCATGTATCTCTATCACCACACGCCATCAACGCTAATGACTTGAGTCCACGAAATGTTATTCCTAGTCTCCTGAATCCACACCCTAAACTACACGTTGTAGCTCTTAATGTTCGAATCTTGTGTCAAGTGGGAACACGGGCTTCTTTGGCTAGGACTCTAGAATCTTGCGCCGTCTATATGTGCTGCGTCTTCGAAATGTGCGAACAATATCCAATTACTCTCATTCATTTGACCTCGCCTTGCCAATATAAAGAACTGGCACTACTTACACTTCGAGTATCTGAAGACCCCACTGCTACTTTTTGGGGCCTCTTTGGTGTAGGTGTCACGTTAAATTTAATAGCAGAACCCAATATCTTCAATCGACCTGAATGGCAAACTGATGTAAGTCCTCCGACTCTTAGTGAGCTTTAAAAGGCTATAAGCAATCTAAAGCGAGGGAAAGCAGCAGAGCCTGATGGATTAACCCCTGCGAATCTTAAGGATAGTAGTCCAGTTTCAGCAGTTAGATTAACTGAGATCTTAGCTAAAATCTGGGAACTGGATGTAGTCTCATCTGACTGGTCTCGATCTCTGATCATCCCAGTCTATAAGAAAGGGACAAAAATCCTCTTGCAACAATTACAGAGGAATCAGTTTAACCAATAGTGTCTGAAATATTGGCCTCAATAATACTTCGACGTCTT